TTCTCAGTGATCTTTTCACAGAACCACTTATCCTCAAATAACAAGGACCATCTATAACTCATTTCCACCTCAAGGTAGTAGATGAATTTGTGCCTGCCAAGTCACACAGGACAGAGTACAAAAGAAAGCAGCCTCATCACCAATCTCTGGAAGACTCAGGCTCAAGAAATAACAAAAGAACATGACATGCAGTCAGTACGCTGTATAGCACGCTCAATCAAACGGAGCAAGTAAATAGATTCCAGGATGTCTTCGACATGGTCTTGTAGCATTGTATTTCTCCATGAAAAAAAAGGTAATCAAAAATGCCAGACTTCTATTTCTCTTTACTTTCTAAATCACAATAATTATCTTGAATCTCATTTTCCCCAACACCTACAATACTAATAATCTTTCTCTTCTCTTTTGTTCAGACATGTTTTTCTCAGATTTGAAAGACCAATTCCAAACAGGAATATCAAGGATTTTAAAGTTCCATTACTAAACAATGTAATGTTGATGATATTCCCTTGTCAAAATACTTCTGTACAACTCCAAAAGTTACAGTTATCATACAATCAACCAAACAAGAAGAAGGATGAAACAGAATATTACTGTTCTACAAAATGAATCAGCTGATAAACTTCCCATCCAAATCACATTATTTCCATACCATTACCTTTGGTAGAGTATCTTGCAATGTTCTGCATGTTAGATAAGATATATAATAGATTATGCTAATAAAAGGCATGATTTCAGAAATGAACAATTAAACAATAACTACAGATCTTCTATGCCAGTTACTCCATAAATGCTAATAAAAACCTAATTTCTATCATCAACTTGCTGTAAAAGAAGAAGCAGGAAAACAAAACAAAACCCTTAATCCAAAGAATTGGCTCAATTTTTCTCTCAGTGTGGTTATAATATAACAAAGTAAGAAATACATGGAATTTTAGAATCAGGCTACTATTTTTCAAACTGATCTTGGCCTACCTGTGAGTTGTAAGGATGTAAATTAAATAGTCCTCACTTTTTAAGTCTATATAATTGGGATGATACCCCAGCAAACTGTTGAGGCTCACTGCAAGGGTCTGCATATTGTCCATCCCCAAAAGGTTAATGTGCTAGTAGTGTTGAGACGGTGGAACCTTTAAGAAGTGGAAATTTGTGGAAGGTAATTAGGTCATGGAGGCACTACCCTTAGGAGGCATTCATGAAGGTTCTTATGGGATGGAATTAGTTCCCACAAGTGGGTTATCCTAAGGTAGCCTTGCAATGTAGTTGTACATGCAAAGGGGATTTGTTATTACAGATTTCCTCCCCTGAATTCCTCTCCACACACACCACATCATTGGCCTCTTCCTCCTACACTCCCGCCTCATAATGCCATCCACCATGAACCCCTCGCTAAAACTAAGCAGAGGCCTGTGACATGCTCCTGAACCTCCAGAACCATAAGCTAAATAAACCTCTTTTCTTTAAAAAGTACTTAGAACCAGGTATTTTGTTAGATTGCATACAGTGCCAGATGAGTTCCCAAGGTAGGTGACTGGCATTCTAGGACCTCTGCCCTTCCCTAAGAAAATGGATCCCCCAAATTAGTGGAATCTTAGAATTTCAATTCTGAAAGTTGAAAGAAGTAATATATGGATGGAAAAAAATACAAGAGCCTATTTATCTTGGCTAGGGTGCTGATGAGACAACCAGAAAGCCACAGCTGCCCTAATGCACCTTTAAATCTGAGAAAAGCTTTTCTATTGATTCTGTGAGTGGCCCAATATCTTTCAAATTAATTTTTCTTTTAATTCCCATTACTCGGAACTATACCACCTAAAGTAATCAACACCTTCAATGAAGAGGCACACTGTTCAAATGAGGGGAATTTCTCAAAGGTCAAGTCCCATTGCTGAAACCAAAGATTTAAAATACTATCATATTTGCAGAGCATTTTACAATTTTCAAAGTACTTTCACTTACTTCATTTGACCCCTACAATAATTCACACTGTATATAAAAGAGATCTGACATATAACCCCCGAACAAAGGGTTGGAGTCCCGACGAAATCCAAAGTCTGCTCAAAAGCCATGCTTTTCACTATGTCATATTATTTAGGAATGATAAATTTCAATTGCCATTTCACATAAATTTATATAAATGATAATTTAGCAGCATTTATTCACATAAATGACAATTCCAGATCCAAGAATTTATTGCAAAAACAATAAAACCTTCATTTGATTAATGGGAAAATGACACCCTGGGTAATTAAGTAACTTACATGAGAAAATTTCCAACTAAAATGGAAGTAGAGCAAATTCATAATGTATCGGACTTGGATGCCCTTCAAGAGAATTTTAGTTACTAAAGCAAGGGTGTCATCTTGAAGGTGGTCCTGAATGGTCAGCAGCTGTTTCACAGTGTTTGTCCAAGGCTTCTGACCTTGAAAACTCTTCAGGGAAGTCTGGCTTCTGTAAACTGTCTTGCCACCTACATCTGAACCTGGCCCTGTCCTAACCCCACAAGAGCCACACTGCATATACACAAAGCTGCCTTCAGGCTGAGCAGTAATTCCTGTTAGGCATTCAAAAATAGCTCTTGGGAGCTGGGGTTGTGGCTCAGAGATAGAGTGCTCGCCTAGCACATGCGAGGCCCTGGGTTCGACTCTCAGCACAACATAAAAAAAAATAAAAAAATAGCTCTTGGTAACCCATTCCTGACTTCTCAGGGCCTGAATCCATTCTGTTGTCTAACTCTGCATTCCTATAGAATCCTACCAGACTTAGTTATTTCTCCTAAAGTCCTCAGAAGTGACCAAGAGCTTTCCTCATCTCTCCAGGGTGGTGAACTGGAATGAGTAATCAGGTTCTGACCACAGGTTGCCAACCAGCTGGCTAAGCCCCACTCTAAGCTACATCCTCCTAAGAACCCAAACCCCCAACACTCTGTACAGTTGGGGTTGAACACACTCATCAAAATCTACTCAAGGCTGCCAGCCTTCTAGGGATAAGACATTCACGTCACCTGTGCCTTCCTGATTTTCCTGAAAACTTCATAGAATTCCCTAAACACCACTAACTTTCTTTGGCTTCAATGCTCCACTTTTCTCTTGCATTCAGGATTGTAAAATCACCAAGGTGCTGCATTAACTAGGTTTTCATTGCTATAACAAATACCTGGGACAAATCACCTTAGAAGAAGGAATAGTTTATTTTGGCCCATGGTTTTACAAGTCTCAATCCATGGTCACTTAGCCCTGTTGCTTTTGGCCTGTGGCAGCACAATAGGTCACAATGGAAACATGTGACAGAGAGGCTGCTCACCCCATGGTGGGCAGGAAGCAAAAGAGAAAGATGATGGGAAGGGGCTAGGTCCTAATATCCCTTTCAAGGGCAAGCCCCCAATGACCTAACTTTTTTTGACTACCTCCCATTAGTGTCACTGGCTAGGGAACCAAGTCTTGAACACATGGGCCTTTGAGGGGACATTCAAGATCCAAACTCTAGCAGCTGGTAAGGCTGAGGCACCCTCTGTTATGGGCTACATATGACATAATACAACCCACATATATCTCCCTTTGAATAGCTGGTGAATACTGTGCAAACAATACTGATGGTGTTTAAGGAATCTCCTTCTGCAGTAGATTCAATCTTCAGAATATACACCAGAAGGAAACAAAATTGAGACTGATTTGGTTTCCTTAGAGTACTGGAAGAAGTCTTTGAAATTCTTGTTTTAGGAATAAGCCTGGCAGATTTCACTGACAAATCCTGCAATTTAAAGCAAGTTTGTTTTTTTCTTCCAATGTTTGAGTGACAACAGAACTGCAAAGCAAACTTGACTCCATTTTTCTCATCCCAGCAGGACAACCACTCCCCAGGAGAGAAATTGTCATCATGAATCAACTGTAAAACACACAACCATTCTAACTGATTGAAAGAAGTGACATTCATGCCGAAATGGGAGGTCACCCTGGACACTTGAAATGGAAGAAGATAGCCAAAGAGGAAGCTAAGTCAGATCCGAGTTAGCATTTTAAAAGATTCACAGCAGAAGTAGACAAATAGAGGAGAATTCCTGAAGGAGAATGTTTGAAGTTTCTTTGCATCTCTTGGTGGATATAATTTTAGATCTAAGTGAAAACCAACATATTGAAGATAAGAAACAAATTAGTCAACTATAAATTCCTAAAGATAAAAGCAATTTACTTGGATTTATGTGATACAGCATTTGGCTGGGAACATTTTCAATCTTGCTTACACTTTTTAAAAATCATCTTAATTGCTTACTTTGTAACATGAAAAAAAATTATAGTAGCCCAAAGCTCATACACATTTAAGTCAAAACCATTTAAATTTTGGCTTATTTTTCTGTATAGCAGAAAAATTTTGTAGGACTCCAACCCCCATGAAATAATTGGGACCCAAAGTTAACGACAGCTGAGAAACATCTTACAGATTCTGGCCCATAGACTTCATTTGCATTTTTGTCCTTTTTAAAGCCTTTCCTTAATGACTCATGAAACTATAATGTTTTTTTCATTTTGAACAGACCTTAAAAATCAAATCATAGAGAGTTCTTCCATTTTAGAAATGAAGAAATCAAAACTTAGACTGAGTGGACTTAAAATGAAATTCAACATCTAACACCTAGAGTCTGAAAATAATATCACAACACACGTAATGGACTTTACTTCCATTCTTTTTGTTCACTCAAGGATAGGACTATGATTTGTTGACCAAAGTTAAGACAGGGAAAAGGATAGTTTGTAAATCACAAATTCTGAAATACCCAAGTTTAGAACCACACGGTGTGTACTGGCTCCATCATTAACTTCTCCGAACGAGATTGTCATTAACTGCTACCTTAAACATATTGTGAGCCTTTTTCAGAATTGATCAGGGTCCTTCAGCAATATCTAGGAAAACAACCACTTATGGTTCCACCAATGCCAATAATTCCACAGGACAGGACCTAAGAGAACTATCTTAATCTCCATAGTGGGCCAAAATGGATGTACCTCCCAGCCTTCAATGTGAGACTGCCATTCCTCTAAAACTTCTAACTTCTCCATCTGTCTCTTGGCCTCGTTTATGTTGGAACAGACTGCTTTCATGGCTTGGAGGGCTTCCATCACTGCCACGTAGTCACTGTGTTTCCGTGGAGTCCTCTTCAGCAACTCCTGTTTATACACACCAAAAAAGGAATTACCCTTTGATCTTCAGTTTTCTGGAACAGTAGGTTCAGACTGACCAGGAAATGAAAATCACAAAGATCCTGAGAGCCACTTTAAGTGACATCACAAACTCCAGTGAGAGTAGGATCAAAAACAAACATGGAATCCGTGAGCAAGCATGATCCCAACGCATATTTTCCAATCACTCCAGTTTTTTCCCCTCAAACTTATTTTATTTTTAAAAACAAAGTTACATTTCTTCTTTCAAGTCATCAAATAACTCACCTGGAGCATGTAAATTTTTTTTATTTATGTTTGACTTTTATCCTAACAGAAGCACATCTTTATATCTTAATTACATTTTCCTGGAGTCTTTAACAAAATAAATCTTCAAATAAGTAGGTTCCATAATGTCAAGAATAATTTAAATGTCTATTTTCTAACATTTTTTTGAGAAACTAAGCAAAGCAAATTTTATGCATGTCTTACATTCAGCAAAATAGTTTACACATTTCGCAATGCTCCATCATTAAGGAGCCATTTACAGGGCTGGGGTTGTAGCTCAGTGGTAGAGCGCTTGCCTAACATATGTGAGGTACTGGATTCAATCCTCAGCACTGCATAAAAAAAAATAAATAAAATAAAGGTATTGTGTCCATTCACAACTTAAAAAAATTTTTAAAAAGCAGCAATTCATGTTGTTTCCACCAATTACTTAATTCCTCCTCTGTGATGAATGAAGAAACACATATCCAATATGTTCCTTTTTGTTTTGGTGTCTAGGGGGTTGGGGGGAATTTTAAATTTGTGTTTTTTCCATTCAGGATATCAAAATTAGAGTAATCTTTAATCTTTTAAATATATTAAAAGGTCTTGTTAGCTATTGTTTAGAAACACAAAATTAAACATCTTCACCCACTGTCTAGACAGTCGTGACCACATTACTTTTAATTAGTCATTTGTTTCCTTACTATAGTTGCCATCATGTAGCTAACACAATTACAGAAACCCTGAGGCAGCCCTTCAAAAGAATTTTCTTAATTCCTAACATGCAGTGGAAAGTGGGCAGTTCTTACACTCTCCTGAGTTGCCCAACTTTGACCCTGCATTTGGTCTGTTCACATTCTGTTCTGGAGAGCTAACACCAGAAAAAAAAAAAAAAAAACTCGTTGTGCCACTCCCAGGACAAGATTTAAAAGTTAAACTGGATCACAAACCCATAGAGGAGAAATACAGCCTTCACCAGGAATTCTGTGGGGTCCAAGTACTTGTAAGTTATGTGAAGTGGTCAAGCCAACCTGTAGGCCATGAGATGGGTCTCTACGGGTTGAATATAGATGATGTGAAATAACAAGAGAAACCATCAATAATAACCTGGCAGTTATTGGCCACACACCTTGTGTTGACTGGTTGACTCAATCATTTCAAGTTCCACAGACCAATGGTTTATTTTTTGAACACTTGTGTTCCAATACCTTTAATATTTTTCTCTGAATAAAAAAAAAAATCACTCCAAATCAAAGAGAATCCCAGCACAATTCTTCAGCTGATGTAACAAACATCAACACCAATACTTCTGCTACAAGAGTAAATAGTTTTTCCATGTTTGTGCAAATAGTATTCACCAAAAGGGAAAAATCATCTTCTTAATATTCCCATCCCTTCTTACTCTTAGAATAAACAAATTTCTGTTGGGCATGGTGGTATACACCTGTAATCCCAGCTATTCAGGAGGATCACAAGTTCTAAGGAGCCCAGTGAACTTAGTGAGACTGTGTCTCAAAAAATAAAGATATAAAAAGGGGTGGGGATATAGCTCAGTGATAGAGTGAGTACTTGTTCTGGGTTTAATCTCCAGTAGGAGGAGGAAAGGAAGAAAGGAAAGAAAGAAAAAAGGAGGGAGGGAGAGAGGGAGGGGGCAGGAGAAGGAAGGAAGGCTGAATCATAAATCCTCCGAGATTCCACAAAATTTAGGACAAAGAATAACTGCAGTTATGAATACACATACAAACTGAGTTCCATAGTTAGAGGGCTGTAGGGATTCTCAGAAGGAAAGAAAAGAATTATTTACACCAATATTCTCTACTTCCAAAGACTGTGCCAAAGCTTTGCACAACTGGAGACACCTGCGTTAGCTTCTCTGTATGAATATTTTTATGATTTAGCCAAGCAACTTTTGACTTTCTTATAAGAGGTATTCTTTTCAAACATATTTTACACAGATAAACTTTATGCAACTGACAAAAGTTGCAGTTAAATTTATATCTTAAAAAATAAATCAACAAAAACACCATTTAATGTCTATACCGTTTCTATTTTTAAAAATGTAGATGTCAACTAGATATTGATGTATTAAAATAAATCAGAATCAAATAGAATAATGGATAAAATGTATAGAGTGCATGCTATGCTAAATGACTTATATAAAATAGTTAATCATTATGTTAAATTCTATGTGCACATGTCATGCATATTCACTCACAAACATAGAGATATACATTCTCATAGTTACATGTTATAATTTATTTTTCTTCTTCTTCTTTTGGCATAATCACATCACCATCTCTGTTTCATCAATGAAAAATCAAGGCTTGAGGGTTTAGATTACATACCCTTGTCAGAGACCTAGTAAGCACCATACTTGGGATCTGAACTCAGCTCATGTACTCAATCACTACTTCCAACTGCCTATCCTGATGGTATAACTCCAAAACACAGCTTTAAAAATTGACACTCTAACCTATTCATTAAACCTTGCAGTAAGTGTAGTAGTTAGGACAGTACAATATATTTCTCATTATAAAAATATTGCTTCCTATAATGAGGCTACAGATTTATAACCATTATTGGGCCACTTCTTGTCTTTAAGAGGTGTGGTATTTTCTTAGCAATATCATCTCATTTCTACCATTTATTGTCCCATCTGATCCACCCTATTTCCTTACAATTTTAAAACCAGACTCTGAAATTAATGCAATTTTGACATTAACTTCATTAGCATCATGAAGTCACCAAAGTTTGGGAAAATCAAAAACTATACAAACTGTGGTTTCACTTAAAATAGCTAAAGGGCTATATGAACTAGACATAATGCACTTAATGGGATCTCTCTTCAAACTAATGAATTTATTTTCTCTAAATGAAACTCAAACAAGTATGTTTTCTACAAAGAGCACTAAAAGCCTTTTTCAGTGGCTTTTCTACTAGAAATATGCTTCTACCTCATATATAAGTTTGTGACAAAATAGCCATTTTTTCCAGTAACTTTAAAAAAAAAAAAAGAATGTCAGACTCTTTAAAAGACAAATCTTTAAAAGATCATCAGCAAAATATGTAGGCATAAAGAAAATGCTACAATGACAAAGCGCATAAAATACCTTCAAGAGCAGAGGGTACTTGCATATCCTTTGAATCGGAGTTACCAAGTATCCTTCCAAGGGGACATCTGTATTATTTCTTCCTCCGAGCAACATGCAGTTCTGAGGTGGAAATAAACATAATTAAGTACATTTTGTAAACCTGAGGCTGTGAAAATTTCTTCTATGGTAAAATGTTAGGCTGAAAAGTTGTGATAGCCTGTGTCCATAGTCTTCTTTCTCTGGGACGAGCACATTGTTCTTGTCACAAATAACACAGAGACAGAGAGAAATACCTTGGTCTTTCAAATAGAATACAGAATCCAAAATATGTTTCAATGTATAGCTTAAAAATTAGTTTATATATTCTACCGAGAATAATGTTTCAGGGAAAAGGTAGAGAGGGAGAGGAAAAGAGATGGATGGGTGGACAGATGATAGCTAGACAGAGGAAGGATAGAGATTTTGTTTATAAGGAGAGATACACTGCACTGTAAAAGAGCAAGTGTCCAGATAATTGGTTTCTAACTTCTAACCCAGGCTCTTCCACTGGCTGGTGACACAGCTTGGACTAACCTCAGAATTCCACTTTTCCTCTCTGTAAAATTGGTAGGTTTTAACCAAGTGATCTCTAAGCCACTTTTTGCTGTCCCACTCTGCCAGACACCTGGCAGCCAACTCAAGAGAAGTCAGTCAGACAGAATCTCCGTAGATTCAAGGTGAATGGAGAAATCCTTAAATCAGTAATCACAGTGAACTGAAATTGAAGGCACGTCCAATGACCGTAGAGTAGTGTTTAAGAGAAAACTGATTCCAATAAATAAAGCCACCATTTCCTAAACAATGCAAAGAAACAGACTCAAAACTTGCCAAAAATCTTATGACCATCGTAATTAAATATATATTAGATAATAAATATCCAATAAAGGGAGAAGAGAGCCTCTCAGATGTCAAACTGGTGAGTTAGCACCTTTCATGACATTGCTTTAAAACACTGTCCCTTCCATATTCATTGAGAAGGCAACCAACTGCTGAGCAGGAACCCATGCAAAAGGAAGACCAATGGTGGGGAGAAAAAATAGCCGAAGCCAATCACCACTTTAGACTGGTTACATATATATACTGTAGAATCTTTATGCATGTGTAAACATATGCTGCCTAAACAATCCTCCAGAAATTTCAATGATCATAAATTTCAATGATCATCATACAGAGGTGGTAGCATAACCAAGGGGCCAAATCCAGGAACTCTTTGGATGTTTGTCAAAGGGTATTGTCACTATTGAATAAGGAAATGAATAAGGAAAATGACACCAGAGATGTAATCTCTATCCTAAGGTCATCCAGATAATTCAGGGTGAATGCATGCCAGGGCAAGAAGTAGAGAAGCAGGTTCCCTCTACACAGGCCATAGAAGCCCCTGAACACAGCATTTTTATCTAGGAACTTTACACAATTCACTCGGCCAACTAGATTAAAAGTAGAAAAGAACGTATTAGGCAAGAATTCTCACACTTCAGAAAAAGCCCAAAACATTCAGTAAGGTAAAGGCTTTCCTAGCGATGGCAGAAGAGATGATCAGTACACCCTCTTTCCAAATGACAAACCAAAAAAGACCAATTTCACGACTCTAGAAATCAACTGTCGTAGAACAAATGCAGACGTGTTTATTCACGAGGAATTTTTAACCTGAGGTAAGAACACTGAGAGTCTGCAGCATTCTTGCTTAGACTTATCTTCTCCCCGGAACCCATCCCCACCCGCAGCTCATACTGCATAGAGGTTTTCTCCAGGCGGTACCATCACAGTAGTGATGTCAAGAGGAAGAGATAAGCCTGGGAGGAAAGGGAGAAGGGTCCCTAGGTAACTTCCTGGCAGTAGAGCACAAACAGCACCTGCAGATATTTGCTAAGAAACTTACAAAGAGGCTATTTTTAAATCAGGACCTACGTGACTGGGGTCCATGCCTCTCCAAAGAAGGAAAAATACCTGATTGATATTTTATTGGACTAAAGTCTGCATGAATACCTCATGGACACCGAATGCCTTATCCAAAATTGGGCAGGGGGCTGACTTCCTTAAATTTACAGATCTATATAAATCCCTGGACAATAGTCACTCTTGGGTATCCTCTCTTGGGACCCCTCCTTCTTTGGTAGCTCTACTTCCTTTCTGTTACTCTAATAAATCCTGTTACTTTGCTCTCACCCTTGTGTCCATGGATTTTATTCTTCAAATTCATGAGACAGGAATCCAACCCCACACTCTGGGCTACAGTAGCATTAGCCTGGAAAACTTTCTGCCAAATGGGGATATAGGGGGATGTAGAGGGCAGGAGTGCTGTCAATTAAATTAGAACTCCATAAAGAAAACAGGGAATGCCCCTAGTTTCAGCAGCCTGAGACTGCAGTGTTGTTTGGGGCAAGGGTAAGACTAGCAGATTAGCCAAAAATTTACAGGGAAAATATGGAGTGCTATAGATGGCTTAGAGAAACTCTACATTTATCTCTGGATGACTGGGAAAGCTGTATGCACTTGCAGAAAACAAAGACCTGAGAAGATCCCTAGAAAGAAAGACCTGAGTCAACTTGCAGACCGACCACCTGGCCTTTGAATGTGTCCATACCCACACTCACACACAGATCCATGGACAAGAGAGAGAATTATGCTCTGAGAAATCACTGGCTGACCACTAAACTAAGCAGTCAAACGAGGGATCTCTAAAAAACAAGTCTGAATTATACGAAAATAAAGTGAGCAGAGATATCATCAGCTGAAGATAGATGAGAAGAAAGATTCCTCAAATAAGTCGAGGCAAGTTATTAAAAACAAAGCAAAGAAACGAACAAATAACAATAATCAATCTCATGGAGAAAATATAGAATCCAGAATTGCTATCATAAGTTATTTAAAATGTCTAGTTTTTAATTTAAAATTATGATATGCAAAGGAACAGGAAAATGTGACTCATACACAGTCAATAAAAACTCTGAGTATACTTAGATCCTGGATTTAGCAAACAAAGACTTTGAAACAACTATTATAAATATGCTCAAAGAATTTTTTGAACTGAAAGACAATATGTTAACAGTGAATAAACCAATAGCAAATCTCAATAGAGAAACAAACTATAAAGTCAAAGCAAATACACATGGGATAGGCTACACGGCAGGTTTGAGATGATAAAAAGTCAATGGAAATCAAGGAACGTGAGGGACTTCTTAGGGTGATGGACATACTAAAAAACTGGATTTGGGGGGTGGTTGTATCACTCTGCACTCTGCTAAATATCACTGAACTGTACACTTACAATGTAGTTCTCTGTGGTGTTTAGATTATCCAAGTAACTGCCAAAATATGCATTTATATATGCTGCCTTAAAAAATTAAATATATATTTTGCTGGTTTCGTGAAAACTACTATATATAGAATGGTCTTTACATTTATTTTCTTCCACATCCTTGATTTGCCTCCTGTCTGCCACTGCCCTACTTAAAGCTCTTGGGAGAAGGGAATAAAAACCCTAGGGAGCTGAAAATATAAAGCAATGATGAACTGTGGCAGAAGTTCTTTTTTCACTAGAAATCTGTGGGGTCTCACAAGCAATTTATGATCATCCAGGAGAGGGCATTAGCAGGACTTTCCTGTAGAGAACTCTGTTCCAGCTCTAACTGCTTACAGTCATCAAAGGGCCGACCCTAGCTTCTCAGCCTGGGTATGCAAAAAGTCATCTCACAAAGAGCTTTTTACACCACACTGATGCTTCCTTGATTCTTCCTGGGCCCATCAATAAACATCAGCCTAGGATAACACATAGAAATACACTTACCAAAAGAAACGTCCGGATTGTTCTTATTTTGTTAAGTTCAAGAAGCAATTTTTGTGCCTTCTCATGGTTGCTACAGTATTCATCATAGATACGAAACCTGTCTTTCTGTGAATTCAAGATAGAATAAATTAGAGTCAGCTTATCTGCCATTTTGAAATTTTAATCTAGGTGATGATATACATAAATAAACTTTACTATGTCTCAAGAGCCACTCTGGGTGTGTACGTGTATTTGTTTGTGTGTTTCCTTGTTATTTATGTGTTTTCCCTGATCCATAAAAAATAACCTAGAAAAGGAGACAGATATATATTATTATATTCCAATATGATGACTGCAGTAATAAAAAAAAATGAATCAAAGTGGTAGCAAAGTACAGAGAAGAGAGCACTCAGCTTTGCCATGAGAATGGAGCTTTAAAAATGCCATTACTTCCAAGCAAGGTCCTGTGGAATAAATCCATGATTCCCAGGCAGGTAGAGGGAAGAAAGGTATTTTTGACCAAGGGGGGAAAGCATGTGCCATACAAACCTGCAGTTAGTAGACACCAATCTGAAACGTTGTGCTTAACAGAGACATTGACATACAGGGCAATATCCAGCAACAAGTGACTAAGATAATGATAGACCCTGAGACATGAGATCTGCGAGGTCATTTCAGAAAGAGATATCTGTTGGTTTAGAAAAGTCAAGGAATAATAACTACTTTCAAATAGCTGTCATACTATAAAAGAGTAACAATTCTAGGTAGCTCTCGCAAAGAACATTAGGATCATTAGGCAGAAATTGCAAGGGCAGTGATGGACAGATGTGGGAGCCATGCAGAAATCTAGTAATTAGAGCTGTCATTAAAAATGATTAAGTAGGAACACAAGGAAGTGGTGAAGGCGTTCCTGCCCGGTCTTCATAAATGGATAGTGGAGTTTTTCCTTAAAAGAAAAAAAATAATTTTACTCGTAATTCCTAAGCCCCACTCTATCTGTAAGATTTTTTTTTTCCTCAAAGTAGCTAGGAGGTATCAAGGAACAACAAAAGAGGAAGACACAAAAAATAATTGATCAAATAGTAGAACAGAAGTGTGTCCTTTGAAATTTCAAAGGCATGCATTCAGAAACATTAAGCCCTATTTTATATAGCCAGCACAGAATGTACTGAACTACTTATCTCAAGAAATGGTATGAGCCACGAAAAAAAAAAAACTTCAGAAATAACTTAGCTAAATTCAGGGATGACAGATTCATAATGTGCTACTAAGGAAGTGACTGTCAGGACACAAGATTCCCATGTGCACCCCTGGCTTGAGATAGCAACTGCTTCAGCTGGCAGAAGATTCTGATCCCTTCATGAAAGGAAACAGGACACAAACACCCATAGCCTCCAGTTGTGCCCAAGAAAAGCATGGCTTGATCTTCCTGCTCCCAAGAGCCTCCCCCCTTTAAGATAATCACCTTCTTGAAATATTTTGACTAAACAGAGCCTACTCATCACATATAGATATAAAAATCACATAGAAAAACCTTCACAAAAGACTAAATGGAAAATCAAAAATATACAAGGTTGGATTTCTATAATGCTGTCACCCGTTTTTTAAGTAAAATATGAATTCTGTAGCATTTTGATAAATACATGGACTCAAATTGGTATTCTGAAAATGAGCATCTATGAAACGGCATAAACAGCAGCATGCTTGCATGCTTTTTTTTTTTTTTTCTTTTTAAAGTATGAATGTTCTCTAGCCTGGAAACCATTCTCCCAGTACAGGTGGCTTCTAATTTTACACACTGATTGCATAAATGATTTCAGCTATCAAATATAAAGACACGGAAACGATCACACAGGCACGGGGTGTGTAACCTGAGAAAAATTGAGCTTCAACTGCTTCTTCCTTCCATGCTGCTCATTCAGAACAACCTTCTGAGAAGCCACCCTTGAGGAGAATTCAGTGACAGGCATACTGGGTTAGTTCACCTCCAGCTTTGTCACAAGCCAATTAACAAGGGAACATTCTGACTAATAAAAGGCTTGAAGTGCATTATAAGAGTGAGGATTTTCCGCCTCAAAAGAAAAATGCTCTATGTTTGAGAGAAACATAAAAATCCATTCATTATGAACAGCCTGAATATTCATTAGAATTCAAAGCTACAGAGGATGCGAAGAACTAACTTGTCAGGAAAAATAAAAGGCTGTTTATTCTTTGCTGAGTAAAATGGATGATGCAGGGCACTCTCCCCATTTCTGGCTTGAAGTGCAAGATTTCATTGGCCTTAAAAGACCCTAAACTTTTGGCATCCCATTTTATTTCTAATGCTGAATTCACACATAGTACTATGCCAAGAGCTAAACCTTAAACTCAAGAAAGGCAGAGCTTTGTAAAAGAAATAAAAATGTATCCTACAAAGTGAAGAAAGCAGGTCCCCACTTCCTGTTGAGCATTGGGTTCTGGGTGTAGGCATTCTTCCACGACTTTTAAGAATTCTTTATGTACTGCAAGGATATCTTCAATGTTTGAGAACAACATCTGTATAAAAGAAAAAAAAAATGGGTAAGTGCAACAGCGAAGCAAGTTGAAAAGAAAAAGGAGAAAGTCACCTTTGCATTCTCTTTGCCTCTCCCAACGTGGCAGTCTCCGCAAAAAAGTATAAGGGGAAGACTATCACCCCAATGGGCTATGAGGGTACAATAGTCTCTCTCCAAGTGAAACCTTCAGTGGATAGCTACCCACATCCATTCCTTTCTCTCACCTCGCTGGCAGAACCCCAACTTTGTCTGAACTTCCCCTGTACTCCCACACTCTGGGAACCAGGACCCTATTCTTGGCTCTCAGGGCAAAGCCTGAGTCTCCAAACCCAAGCATGACAGTCCCACCATTTCCGGGATGGGCTTCAGGTAAAAGTTTAGGAAGGCTTGTTGGCAAGCTTTTGGGGTACATGTGTCTTTGCTCCTAAGAAGAGTATCCTGAATGGACAGTCTCCTTCTCCTTCTAGAAGGTGTTGTGGCGGGGGGTGGGGGGGGGGGGGACAAGTAAGACAGCTACAGGGTCACTTCACAATCATAGGAGAAGCCAGCTCAGGAGCAATGCTGATAACCTGGATGGCAGAGGTTAGAGAAGATCTAGTAACTTCTTGGCCTCCCTGAATCACTAAATGGAACTTTTCTTTTATTCAGAGACCTCATTCTGTGAGTGAAAGTGTCTTCTAGTCCATCTGAATTATAGGTTACTTTTTCTTGCAACCAAAAATTCACTAACTAAAATACTGCCATGGCAGGAAATTTTGAAATGAAATTTATCAAATTCTGTTATGTGCATGTATAAATATGTAACAATGGCACCATTGTGTATAATTGTAATGCATAATTAAAAAATAAAAGAAAGGTGCTTAAATTATGAGGAAATAGGGTCAGAAGAACCTAAAATATCCTCTGAAATTTTTTTCAGCAAAATAAAACAGTAAGTCAGCATCAATACCAACAATGATTTATACAATTTAAATAATCACTATAGCATACTTAGTTTTCATTTGCCATCCTTTTTCGTTTCTTCACAATTTTTCCTTCACTATTCTGTGTGTGTATATGTGTGTGTGTGTGTGTGTGTGTGTGTGTGTGTGTGTGTGTTTTGCTGAGAATGAAACCCAGGACCTCTACCATTGAGCTCCATCCCCAACACCCTTTTCCTACATATTAAAAGAAAATATTTATACGTTTATGTCTGACTTAAAGATATCATGTGGACTTTCTCTGATGCACCACAGTAAAATATCCAGGTCTGAATTCTTTAGCTATCACAGAGACAGGAAGTCACATTTGCCCACGCCTGCCTTCTTGAACAACCTCTAGCAATCGTCTGACACCTCCCTCGACTTCCTCCCTCTCCTAGACACTGAAGTTCTTAGTCGTATTTCCTAGAATTTTTTTTCCTTCCTCTTTGCAAATATCTCCAAGATCTTGATTTGAAAAAAATAAAAATAAAAATTCTCTATGCCCTAGGTGCCGTATTCTTGACCTCCCTTTATCCAAACCCTAATTACACCTTTTCATACCATTACCAATGCAAATGACTGGCACAGGAACTTAGAATAGAACCACAGTCACACTGAAGATCCTGAAGGAGCATCCCACAGGGACCACTTTATCTATGGGGAACTCATGCCCTCTGCACCCCCTCACCTTCACTGTTTCTTCTGTTACATTCTTGTCCACCTTTGCTGCAGCACACTGGTTCATTCTATGTAAGAATGCCTGCATGAAACAAGAAAAGACATTATGAAGGGAACAGAAGGTTCATAAAATGACGGTGTTGATCAAAATCCAATTCATTTTTTACAAAAAAACCAAAGCTCAAAAATCCAATAGTTGAGTCAAATGCTGGCCATTAAACTTTGACTAAAACAGTTTTGTTACCACATGTCAGATCCTGGTGCATTGCTCTCTACCTGAGAATCAAACTCCTTTTATGATGTTAAACAGAGCCCACAATGATCAAATCTATATGAATTAAATTTATCCACCAGTAATAAAAACTTACTTAAGTTCTGGAGTAAATATTTAGGGCCAGATGTTTCCTAAATGTATAAGCATTGCAAAGTACAAAGAGACTAAAATCTAATGAAAAAATGGTATTTCTGATTAAAAAAAAATCCAGGAATTCTGAGGTGACTCCCTTAGAAGTGAGAGAGTCAGAAATAGATACATACATACACACACATCCTTGCCAATAACTATTTTCAGGTTCTAAACGGAATGAAAGAACTTCCTTTCCTCACTTCCACTCCATACGAACACACTTTCAGGAAGCCAGAATTTAAATTTCTGGGTTCAGGTCAGAGCTCTTCATTTCCCTGTGGTTGATAAATGAGCACAATAGTATTCCAAAGATCCAGGCTCAAGCTCAGGATGTATCTCAGAGGTAGACAGCTTGACTAGTAGCATGCTCAAGGCCCTGGCTTCCATCCCCAGATTGTGGCAGGGAGGGGATGGAGACTTCTCGATGGCCATTAAACTTTGACTGATACCTAAATAGAGCATGATGATTGATTGATATTGAGCTTTAAAAAACAAAGTTTTAAAAGACAAGGAAAAGGAGACATTCCATTTAGCAAATCTGGTTTATACCCTCAAAACATCATCTATTAACTATACAGTGACCAGGTAAGATCATCCAGAGCCTGGGAATGTTGCTTAGTGGTAAAGCATAAGCAAGCAAGTGTCCCTGGGTCCAATCCCAGAACCACCACAAAAAAAAAAAAAATTCATTCCTTCCCTTGTCTAAGAAGTTTGCCACCACCCGCAAGTCAGGACAGGACAGAACTGTACAGCACATCAACTACTCAGGGCGATACAGAAGCACAGGAGAACCTCAGGCTATCACATCAAACAAACAAAAACTAAGGCAAGAATCATATCTTTGGTAGGTTATATTTACTAAGATTTAGAAGATTAATAAAAATTTACAAAGACTTAAGAGATTAACACAGCCCACAATTGTTCATAATGTTCCAAAATTATCATTGCTACATATTTCTAAGGACAATTTGAATATATCTTAAAGGGTTTGGTTTTGTTTTGTTTTGATTTTCTTTTTCTTTCTTTTTTAGGTTGTAGGCATTGAACCCAGGGCTTTGTGCATACTGAGCAAGCACTTTACTAATGAGGCACATCCCCAGCCCTTTCTCAAATTTTTAAAAGGGCATTTCTTTTAATCTAGAAATCCTACTTCTATAAATTTATCCTAAAAAATATTCAGACAATGGGTTTCAGAGCCCGGCATAGTGGCTCACACCTACAATCCAGGAGTTCATGAGGCTAAGACAGGAGGATCACCAGTTCAAAGCCAGCTTCAGCAATGGTAAGGAGCTATGCAACTCAGTGAGACCCTGTGTCTAAATAGAATACAAAAAAGGGCTGCGGATGTGGTTTAGTGGTTGAGTGCCCCTGAGTTCAATCCCTAGTACCAAAAAACAAAAGCAGGGTGTGGGCTGGGGGGTCAGAACACTGATTAGAAAAGGAGAAATACTGGAAACTATTGAAAGGTCTATCAATAAGGGAATCACTAAATACACTACAGTATATACAAATGATGGGTACTGTGGTTATGACAAAAGTACAACCATAAATGGAATGTGAAGAGGCTGGGGATGTAGCTCAGTTGGTAGAGTGCTTGCCTTGCATGCACAAGGCCTTGGGTTCAATCCCAGCACCATTAAAAAAAAAAAAAAAGGAATGTGAAGAAAACTACACGTACACACATATGCAAATGTGTATATAGGACAGATATTCTTAAAATATTGTCTGGTGAAACCCATGTATTAAGTAGCACACCTAATATATATGTATATCTACACACATGTATAATGTGTCTATTCATACTGAAAAAAATAGGTAACATATATACCAAAATGAAAACAGTAGTTACCTACATGTGGTAGGAAGGAGGCCTTCGTGCACCTTATTTTCAAAATACTCAGCATAACTTGTGTTTTGTTAAAAAAAAAAAAAAAAAATTGAAAAGAAATCAAACAAATGAGCCCTCAAGAACTCAATTCTAGCATAAGCATCAACACCATCCTTATTTCTGATTCCACCAATTCATCTTTCAGATTCTATAACTATAAAGACATATCAAAACTAGTAGCCCCAGCCTAGAATCCCAACAACTTGGGAGATTGACACAGGAGGATTGCAAGTTCAAATCGTCTCAGCAACTTAGCCAGACCTTATCTCAAAATCAAAAAATTTAAAAAAGGCTGGAGATGTAGCTCAGGGGGAAAGTACCCCTAGGCTCAATTCCCAGTACCTAACAAAAAAAAGACAAAAAAACACTATTAGCCCCAACTCTTTAACATCAGCTGAATTAAATAAAATGAATAAGTATTAGCTGTAACCTTCATTTTTTATTGAAAATATGTGATACAATTGTTGAACTATTATCTGAAGTTATACATAAATGGCCATGGAAAATGATTTTTGAGTACCATTTTAATTAGTTTTATTCTGTTTAATTTTTAATTTTAGTTTTGCTTTTCTTGAGTATTTTCCAAGTGCTCATACCAGATATTCTCTTTAGATCTTTTTATTTAGTCTTAAAATAACATGGGTGGTTTATTTGCCTAGTTTACATTTTACATTGACCACACAGTAAACAGGTAACCTCTCGTGCAAGTAGAATTTAAACTTCACCTCTGCAATTATAAACCTCTTCTTCATAAATAGAACCCAGTCACATTCTGAAACCAAAAATTTGAAAGCTACAAAGTTGAGTCAAAATGTAAGTTAAAAGGGAACATACAAACTAATAAGGTACACCACATCTTTATCTGACAATTTTTTAATCTTCTTACCCTCCAGGACAGTATGAAATATTTTGTTAAACTGTATATATAAGGAAACCTGGAACATGCCAGCATCTCTGACCAAGCATTTATTTTCCCTAAGGGCTTCATTTTATACAACATTGAAGGCAGATTTAGATGGTTTACTGGGAATGCACAATCATGAAAACTGTTGACATTTTTTAGAAAATGTTTAAGTCTTTCTTCCTGAAAACAAAAATAAATACATGTTTTCAGAACCACCCTTTAACAACCAGTATCCACAGAGGTTTTTCAGTCTCTGGCAATTGGGCATTTAATCTTCATATCAATCAAGGAAACACTAGTAATCTAGTTAAAAAATATATATATATATGAGGGATTTTATACACTGTTTTCTCTCTGCATTCATTTATTATTGCTTGTCCACAATTTCATCAGAATTAGACAATCTTCATCTTGACAACAAGTATATTTGAAAATAAGCGTTGGAAAACAGCTGTTAATGCCAGTGATTCTCAAACTCTATATTGTATTTAAGACTTAGAGAGTTTCTCCTAAATACAGATTCCTAACCCTAGTCCTGAAAGGCCTGATTCAGCAGACTAGTTTACAACTCAGGAATCTGCACTATGAGCAGGACTCCTCAGTGACTTGCATATTGGTCAAGGGACCACCTTTTGATGGACAATCCCTGATGTTTATTCTTCCAGATGGAAAAAAAATAAAAAAAACAAGGCTTAGAGGAGCACATAAGTGACTCTTAATGGGAAAAACAGGTCCTTTTATTTCATTCTGACTCCGAAATCAAGTAATGGTTATCTTTGTCCATCATCTTCATATTCAACCTTGTGGGGTTTTTGGTGCCCTGACCAAGGATTGCCTTCCCACCCCACTCCATGAAAATTACATCTTGGGCTACACACTGGTCATGATCATCTCTGAAGGCTTGAGAAATACAGAGATAGGTGGTTGAAAAATGATAGGATGTGACCTTTGAAGGAAGTGAAGCTGGGAGGTGCCACTCCAAGGACAACCCACAGGTGTCACAGCAATACACTCAGTACTCCAGCATTCCCTAACAGTGGCACCATCCAACATCTTTCTAGGTACCATTCCAGTCATGAGCCACCTTTTTCCCACTCAGAGAACAGAAATTGTTTTCCTTTTATCATGTATTTGGTAATAGCACATGTTAAATGCAATATGCCAATCAAAGTTTCATAACCCTAAAAATGTTACCAATTTGCTACCAAGAGGTCAAAAAGGAGGGGAAAACTCATTAAGAAAGAAGAGGAAGATGACAGCAATCTCTTTTCTCCTTGTTTGTACAACTGTGCTGCTGCTAGTTCAATAGTAAGGCCATGCCTAGCAAGAATTTCATTCTCCGAATACACTTTTCTTATCATTTCAATGTTCTAAACAGTCTTCCTCAATTTTGTACTTCCCCATTCTGTATCAATCAGGCACTGTTAGCCAGTTTTTCATTGCTATGACCAAAATACCTGACATTTAAAAAGTTTATTTCAGCTCCTGGTCTGCAAGGTTTCCATCCATTGCTCTGGGCGTGAGGAGAGGCAGATCATCATGGAGGAAGGTCATGGTGGAAGAGAGTTGCTCAGCTCACAAGGGCCAGCAAGCAGAGAGAGGAGGCGGAAAAGAAAGAGTGGGGGGAAGGGACCAGGGACAAGACATAGTCCCCAAGGGCCCAAACCCAGTGATCTACTTCCCCCAACCACTACAGTTTCCACTAACTCCCAATAGTCCATTCAGTTATCAATGAATTAATCCATAGATGAGGTCAGAGCCCTCAGTGATCCAATCATTTCCCAAAACCCCACCTCTGAACACTGCTGCACTGAGGACCTAGCCTTCAACACACGAGTTGTGGGGAGACACTTCATACCCAAACCATAAGAGGCACACATAATA